AGATGTCTACTGTCTCCATTTCTATTTAATTTATTAATAACACCACACTAGCAGTTGTAGTTAACACAATAACACAAGAAATAAAAGGCATAGGGATCGGAAAGGAAGAAGCTGTTTCTATTTGTAGACACCACTGTCTACAAAGAACCTACAATCAAAGGCTCTGGAAACTCATAAATGAGGACTAGGCAATGTTATTCAAAGCCTTTTTTTTTTTTTTCTTTAATAGAGACAGGATTTCATCATGTTGGCTGAGCTGGTTTTGAATTCCTGACCTCAACCGATCCACCCACCTGGGCCTTCCAAAGTGCTAGGATTACAGGCGTGAGCCACTGTACCCAGCCCAAAGCCACAGCTTTTACTTCAAATTTTCTATCTCCAGATCCTTATATCAAATTGCCAACTGGATCTCTTCACCTGTATTTTTCCCAGGAACTCCCAAGACTCGATATTTCCAAGCCAAATTTGCTGATATCTTTCCAAACTTGGTCTTTAAAAAAATTCCCTATTCATCTGGTAATGCCACCAATTTACTTATTCTAATATAGCTTCCCAGTATTTATTTATCCATCAATCCATGCTAAAAAATGGAGATTTGTCCTAGCCTATTCCTCTTATCTGCCCCATATACTTGGTCAGTTAGACTATCAGTTAATCTTTTTTTTCTTTTTTTTTTTTTTTTTGAGATCGAGTCTTGCTCTGTCGCCCAGGCTGGAGTGCAGTGGCACAATCTCGGCTCACTGCAACCTTCACCCCTGGGGTTCAAGTGATTCTCCTGCCTCAGCCTCCCAAGTAGCTGGGATTACAGGTGTGCACCATCACGCCCAGCTAATTTTTGTATTTTTAGTAGAGATAGGGTTTCACCATGTTGGTCACGCTGGTTTCGAACTCCTGACATCATGATTTGCCCACCTCGGCCTCCCAAAGTGTTGGGATTACAGGCGTGAGCCACCACGCCCAGCCACTATCAGTTAATCTTGTTACGAAACCAACTGCCCCAAACCTAGAGGCTTAAAAGAAAATGATCTATATTTCCTATAATTCTATGTGAAGACTGGCTCATTCTAGGATGGCCTCACACATATGTTTGGGGTGAGACAATTGGGAAAGGTGGGAGAGCTAGGAACACTCTCCAAGTGGTCTCATCTAGGAAGCCAGCCTTGATTGAATCAAGGCTGTAGCAAAGGGTTGCCAGCCATAAGAGTGTGAAGAATGTGGAAGAATTTTTCAAGTCTCTACTAACATTACAATTGCTATAATCCCAAAGGCCAAAGCAAGTCACTTATATCAGTCTGGGAGGAGACTATCTAAGGGTATAGACATGGGTAGGTGTGAAAAATTGCTGTGGGTACTAGAGGGGGCAAGGGAGCTTAACTGAATAATCTAGTCCACTTAACCCTACTGATTCTATTTCATAACCCCTCCAATCTCATTCTTTCTCTTGAATCCCACTTCGCTGACAAGTTCAAGACCTCATCTTGTACCTGAACTACTTATAATAGTCTCCTAATGGAGCTTGCATTGCTATGATATATTAGCATATTAATTTTCTGGAAAACACAGATCCAGTCACACAATTCTGTCATTTAAAACTCAGTAGCTTCCCTTTGGCCATTAGAATAAACTACTAAGTGAGGCCCACAAAGTCGTTTTCTAGCTCTTACTTACCTATCTCTTACTACTCTTACTTACCCTACTCTTCCAAATATGAAAAACAGTCTGTAAAGGACCATGGTATTTCAATACCACCATTTTCCATATAATGTTTTTTATCTGCAATGCCCTATTACTGCTTGTGTCCTGGTAAATATCAACTTACTCTTAAGATTTCTACAAGGAGGCCGGGCGCGGTGGCTCAAGCCTGTAATCCCAGCACTTTGGGAGGCCGAGGCGGGTGGATCACGAGGTCAGGAGATCGAGACCATCCTGGTCAACATGGTGAAACCCCGTCTCTACTAAAAATACAAAAAACTAGCTGGGCATGGTGGTGCATGCCTGTAATCCCGGCTATGCGGGAGGCTGAGGCAGGAGAATTGCCTGAACCCAGGAGGCGGAGGTTGCGGTGAGCCGAGATCGCGCCATTGCACTCCAGCCTGGGTGAAAAGAGCGAAACTCCGTCTCAAAAAAAAAAAAAAAAAAAAAGATTTCTACAAGGAGGCTGAGGCACTCGAATCACTTGAACCCAGGAGGTGGAAGCTGCAGTGAGCCGAGATTGCACCATTGTACTCCAGCCTGGGAAACAGAGCGAGATTCCGTCTCAAAAAAGAAACAAGATTTCATCTTAAATATCACAAATTTAATGACAGATTTCTTGCCTGACAAAGTTAAATACTCCTACCTTTTGCTTCCATTGCATCTCACACAATCTTCAATTATAGCATTTGTTCCAATGTACTATAATTATTTGTTTGCAGGTCTGTCTACCGATTTCCATCACCATGAGATGAAAACTTTTTTTTTGAGATGGAGTCTTGCTCTGTTGCCCAGGATGGAGTGCAGTGGCATGATATTGACTCACTGCAACCTCCACCTCCCAGGTTCAAGAAATTCTCCTGCCTCAGCCTCCTGAGTAGCTGGGATTACAGGCATGCACCACCTGGCCTTTTTTTTTTTTTTCTTTCTTTTTTCTGAGACAGAGTCTTGCTCTGTCACTTAGGCTGGAGTGCAGTGGTGTGATCTCAGCTCACCGCAACCTCCACCTCCCAGGTTCAAGTGATTCTCCTGCCTCAGTCTCGCGAATAGCTGGGATTACAGGTGCCCGCCACCACCACATCTGGCTAATTTTTGTGTTTTTAATAACGAAGGGGTTTCACCATGTTGGCTAGGCTGGTCTCCAACTCCTGACCTCAGGTGGATCCACCTGCCTCAGTCTCCCAAAGTGCTGGGATTACAGGTGTGAGCCACTGGGCTTGGCCCAAAACTCTTTATTATGTCTCTCTCTCCAACACTCAGTAAGGACTTGGCAAATGCTTTTTTAATTAACCAATTAAAATTAAAATGTCTATTTCCAACATTCCAGATGCCAGTGGAAAAAAATTTATCAGATAACAGCCTGTCACCAAGTCAAATCTTCTCATCAATTCAGTACTTTCTTTCTTCAAATATGTCATGTTTCAGTCGAGTTACTTGGGTGAAATGCAGCTCCAAGTGCACTAATAAACTTTCAATATAAACTAACATACCTTCAGTGTTATGAGTATGTTAAAAGGATAATTTTTTTTTTTTTTTTTTTTTGAGACAGGGTCTCACTGTTGCCCAGACTGGAGCAATAATAGCTCGCTGCAGGCTTAACCTCCCTGGCTCAAGGCATATTCTTACCTCAGCCTCCTGAGTAGGTGGGACTACAGGCCCTTGCCATCATGCCCAGTTAATTTTAACATTTTTTTCTAGAGACAGGGTCTCCCTATGTTGCCCAGGCTACTCTCAAACTCCTGGGCTCAAGCAATCTTCTCACCTCAGCCTGCCAACGTGCTGGGATTATAGACATGAGCCATTGCAACTGGCCAACATGAGAATTTAAACATTGCATTTGGTATTCCAAATTTACAAATGTACCAAATATACCAAAAGTATCAGCGTACTAGTACATACTGGTTCTCCATTGTGGCTGCAGCTGAATTATGTGATAATCTTTTTTTTCTGTTTCCTAAATTTTCATACATTTTGAAGTTTAAAAATATCCACAACATAGTCGAAATGTTAGAATACTTACACAAATCTCCTTGGAAAACTCACTATAGTCTGAAGCCTGGCTTTCAGTCTTACTGACCCAGAAATCAGTCAGGAAGATTTAAATTAGTAAGCTCAGAGAGACTTAAGCATGCCCTCCACCCACCCCACCCCCAACCAAAAAGAAAGCCAATGTATGGGTTTTTTTTTTTTTTTTTTTTGAGATGGGGGTCTCCCTCTGTCTCACAGGCTGTAGTGCAGTAGCACGATTTCAGCTCACTGTAACATCTGCCTCCTGGGTTCAAAAGAATCTCGTGCCTCAGCCTCCAGAGTAGCTGAAATTTACAGGCACCTGCCACCAAGCTCAGCTAATTTTTGAATTTTTGTATTTTTAGTAGAGACAAGGTTTAAGGACAAGTCCCTCCTGAATAGTTGGGACTACAGAATATATTTTTTAAAAAAGAATACTGTGAACAATTTTTGCCAGTAACTTTGAAAATTTCTGTAAAATAGACAAAGTACTAGATAAAAATAAACTAACCAAATTTTAAAAGCAACAGAAAACCTAAACAATTCTATAATCACTAAAATTCTTAAAAATTTGATTATAGGCTGGGCGCGGTGGCTCACGCCTGTAATCCAAGCACTTTGGAGGCCAAGGTGGGTCACCTGAGGTCGGGAGTTCAAAACCAGCCTGACCAACATGGTGAAACCCCGTCTTTAAAAAAATTTTTTTGATTATATAGTTTAAAATTTCCCCACGATATGGCAAGGTTGGTCAGGCTGGTCTCAAACTCCTGGCCTCAAGTGATCCTCCTGCCTCAGCTCCCAAAGCACTGGATTACAGGCATGAGCCACCACTCCAGGCCTAAACTTTGTTTTCTTAATAACCTTTTAATTTTAGAACACTTTTAGATTAACAGAATTCTTTTATTTATTTACTTTTTTTTTTTGAGGGTCTTGCTCTGTCACTTAGGCTATAGTGCAGTGGTACGATCACTGCAACCTCCACTTCCCGGGTTCAAGTGATTCTCCTGCCTCAGGCTCCTGAATAGCTGGTATTACAGGCGCCCGCCACCACCAAGCCCGGCTAATTTTTGTGCTTTTAGTAAAGACGGGGTGACCACGGTGGCCAGGCTGGTCTCAAACTCCTGACCTCAGGTGATCTGCGCACCTCAGTCTCCCAAAGAAAGTGCTGGGATTACAGGTGTGAGCCACTGCACTTGGACCTAATTTTTGTATTTTTAACAGAGATGGGGGTTTCACTATGTTGGTTAGGCTGGTCTCGAACTCCTGACCTCAGGTGATCCGCCCACCTCAGCCTCTCAAAGTGCTGTGATTACAAGCGTGAGCCACCGCACCCGGCTTTTTTTTTTTTTTTTTTTTTTTTTTGAGACACAGTCTCGCTCTATCGCTGGGGCTGGAGTGCAGTGGTGCGATCTCGGCTCACTGCAACCTCAGCCTCCCAGGTTCAAGCGATGCTCTTGCCTCAGCCTCCCAAGTGGCTGGGATTACAGGCACGCGCCACCACGCCCGGCTAATTTTTGTATTTTTAGTATTGATGGGCTTTCACCATGTTGACCAGGCTGGTCTCTAACTCCTGGGCTCAAGTGATCCTCCTGCCTCGGCCTCCCAAAGTGCTGGAATTACAGGAGTGATTACCGCGCCCGACCTAAGCTTCGTTTTCTTACTGACCTTTCCATTTAGAACACTTTTAGATAAACAGAATTCTTTTGAGGGCAGTAGAATCCTCTATACCCCACACAAGGCAGGTTTTTCAACTCGAACTTCTACTTCCACCCCACGCAGGCTCTCCACACTTCTCGCCTCTGACCTAGGGTTCTGGCAGGGCCTGATCCTCACAGCCCAATTTCAGGACTGTGAGGAAAGCTCAGCTTAGACCAAACGTCATCGCTCAGACACAACTGGGTCAAGCGTCAAACTCGCGGAAACCCGAGTCCGGAAATCCTAACGCTCTGGCTCCACCTAGCCCCGCTCCCCGAGAGACCTGCAGAGCCCTGGCCGACTTTGCGGTTCCAGCTCCGGCCTCAGGAGGCGAGAAGCGAGGATCTCGCCCAAGCCCCTCCTCCAGGGGCAGGTTCTCGAAGCCTGAACATTTTTAACCTCAAAACGCCCAGGATCTCGGAGGCGTGTGCTGTATGCCACATAAATGCACAACACGTAACAACGACTCATTGTTCAGCGCCACGCCTGCAGACCCTTCTCAGGCGCAGCCGCCCGGGCTCGCGGCCCACACACCGCAGCCGCCGCAAGCCCTTCTCGGCGCGGCGCGGGGGCTGGGCTGGGAGGCAGAGCGGGGGCAGGGCGCGCGCTCGTGAGAACGTCCGGGGAGCGCGCGCGCCGACGCCGAAGCCGCCGGGCCGAGCAGAGTCGGAGTTGTTGCCTGTGGGGTTTGCGGTTGATGGCTCCCGCTGACGGGCTGGCGGCGGCGTCTGCCGCTGTTCCTGCTGTTGCTGCCGAGACCTCCGTTCGCTTCTGGTCATGAGAGGTCAGGCCTGGGGGAAGCGGGCAGAGGAGGAGGCGGCGAGGGGCGGCTGAGGGCTCGGGGGAGAATAAATGAGGCACTCGAGGCTCGGACGTGGGTGGAGAACTCTGCCCTCGGAGATTCCGGAAGAGTTGTGTTGACTTTTCTTCCTTTTTCTCCTCCTTTCTTGTCTGTGCATGAAGGAAAGTGGGAGGGTTCTATGTTATTTATAGAAAAGACACTGAAACCCTGCTGTCCAACGTTGCTCTTAAGAGTTTTGACGAAATAACACCCGTGGCGTCGAGGCCTCGGGGAATGCCTTTAGTGAAAAGCACCGAAACCCAAACCGCCAGACTCGGTGACTGCACCTCTGTTCAGTTCTGGTAGTGAAATAGAATGACACAGAACATTCCCTGACGTTCACTCTAGCTTCCTCCTAGAGAAACGGGAAAGGCACGGCAATGTAGGATAGGCTCTGCGTTTCGTCAGCTGGGATTCCGAGTCGGTTCATCTAGTCCTAGGAGGTCCACACTGGATCAGGTATTAGATCTTTCCCTGCCAGGGTCCTCTTACCTCACACCCCTCCCCCTGCAATACACACACCACGGACGGTGGCATTTTATTGAGCTGTGTGACTGTCCTTATTCAGACTAAAGAGTTACCTAGCAATTATATGGTAACTCCCCAAAATATCTATGCTTTAATGTATTTAGGTAACATTTCTTTGCGCAGAGAGGTAGTATTCTTGGTAGCACCATTAATTATCGGAAACCTTATGAGCTTTGGGAAAGCTGCTTGAGCAGAAAATGTAATTTGTAGGTCACCTAAGTGCAGTGTTTATTATTAGTTACCTATGATGCTAATAAGGCATTAAGATTTAATGTTGTTTTTCTTCCTAACATTTCCAAACGTAAAAAAAAAATACTCTTCTTTATGAAACTTCTTTGATGTAGAATATACATTAGAGATGAAACTGCTCCAGTTGGGCAAAGTACATGTACCAGCGTATCCAGTGAGGTCTGGTGCTCATTAACATCTGCTGGGCACCTGTATTTCATGACTGTTTTGCAGATGCCTTCTGCCATTAGAGAGCTAGAAGCATTTGCAGCTCAACTTTTTTTTTGGTAGCAAATGTTCCTTAAAAGATAATTTGCGTAGGGCAGCAGAGCCTTGCCATTGAGAAGGTAGGAGTCCAGTGATAACCTGAAAATTTATCTGCTGTGATTATTTGCTACTCCTTTAGTGAATAAAGGATACCTAGTGAGGAATATACTGCTGGTATTTAACTGCCTGTTTACTTACAATATTCTCTGCTATTTGATTTTTTAGGAGACAGTCCTGAAGCAAAGATATTTGGGTCAGAGAAAAAGTAGTTAAGGGCCATGCAAGCCAATCGTAGCCAACTACACAGTCCTCCAGGAACTGGAAGCAGTGAGGATGCCTCAACCCCTCCGTGTGTCCACACAAGATTGACAGGAGAAGGCTCTTGTCTTCATTCTGGAGATGTTCATATCCAGATAAACTCTATACCTAAAGAAAGTACAGAAAATCCAAGCTCCAGAAATACAAGATCAGGCGTCCACAGCTGCGCCCATGGATGTGCACACAGTCGCTTACGGAGTCATTCCCACAGTGAAGCAAGGCTGCCTGATGTTACTGCCACAGAGTCTGGAGATCATGGTAGTAGCTCCTTCTCAGAACTCCGCTATCTCTTCAAGTGGTTGCAAAAAAGTCTTCCATATATTTTGATTCTGAGTGTCAAACTTGTTATGCAGCATATAACAGGTAGGGCATAATACAACATTGACTTGTTTTCATTCCTAAATTCAGTTAATTTTTTTTCATTATTGGTAATCTACTTAATGCATTCGGTTACTTATTTTCTGTTAGCTTTTAAAATTGTGTTTCCTTTTAATTTGTGTCATTGTTAGCTTATTTAATCCTCTTTGATTTTTTTTTTCTTTCAATTAACTAGAACTTATTTTCTAACAGGAATTTCTCTTGGAATTGGGCTGCTAACAACTTTTATGTATGCAAACAAAAGCATTGTAAATCAGGTTTTTCTAAGAGTAAGTATAACAAGCAACTAAAACATTATTAACTGTTTCTCTCCATAGATTTTAGAGAAATAATTTTGAGAGAAATAGGAAATAACTTTTTAAATAGGAAGTAATGGGATATACTGTAACATCCATGATATATTAAATTTGTTATCTAAATTACCTGAAATAAATTCTCTCTCCTAATGCTGAACTACTTCACCTTACTTTCTTCCTAAGGGGAAAAAAAATTAGTTAATGTTAAAGTAGAAAAAAGGATTAAAAGAGTTAGAACACGCTGTTTGATCTGATTTAGGAACTCTCTTCAGGTTTTATGAGTTCATTTGACCATACTAAGTAATATCATTAAAAACATTTAGTGGCCGGGCATAGTTGCTCACACCTGTAATCACAGCACTTACGGAAACTGAGGCAGGCAGATCACAAGGTCAGGAGATCAATACCATCCTGGCTAACACAGTGAAACCCCCTCTCTACTAAAATTACAAAATATTAGCCAGGTGTGGTGACACGCACCTGTAGTCCCAGCTACTCCAGAGGTTGAGGCAGGAGAAGAGTTTGAACTCATGAGATGGAGGTTGCAGTGAGCTGAGATCATGCCACTGCAGTCTAGCCTGGGCAACAGAGCAAGACTCTGTCTCAAAAAAAAAAAAAAAAAAGATCTGGGCCAGGCACAGTGGCTCACACCTATATAATCTCATTACTTTGGGAGGCGTAGGTGGGCAGATCACTGGATGTCAGGAGTTCAAGACCAGCATGGCCAACATGGTGAAACCCCATCTCTACTAAAAATACAAAAATTAGAAGGGCGTGATAGCACTTGCCTGTAGTCCCAGATACTCTGGGAGGCTGAGGCAGGAGACTGCTTGAATCCAGGACAAGGAGGTTGCAGTGAGCCAAGATTGTGTCACTGCATTCCAGCCTGGGTGACAGAGTGAGACTCCATCTCAAAAAAAAAAAGAAAATTAAACCCAAGGAATTTTTCTGTAACATAAATTACACAAGCCCTAGTCTTATAAATCATCGGGAAAAACAGGATGAGTTTATAAAATTTCACCTTAGGCAACTTTAAATGGCTATTTCTGTGTAAAGTATCATGCATTCTGACCTGGAAATACATAGTTAAGCTTATCTAACTAGAAAAATTATTATTTAAAATTCATAAAACTTTTCATTAAACTTGACTTTAAAAGTGAGATTACAGGCAAGGCACAGTGGCTCATGCCTGTAATTGCAGCACTTTGGGAGGCCAAGATGGGCAGATTCCTTGAGCCCAGGAACTGGAGACCAGCCTGGGCAACATGGCAAAAACCCCATCTCTACAAAAAATACAAAAAATTAGCTGGGTGTGGTGGCACATGCCTGTAATCCCTGCTATCTGGGAGGGCGAGGTGAGAGGATTGCTTGAGCCCAGGTGGTCGAGGCTGCAGTGAGTCGTGATTATGCCACTGCACTCCAGTCTGGGTGAACAAGCAAGACACTGTTTCTCCCCTACCCCCACCAAAAGAAAAAATGGAGATTACAACTACTTGGGAGGCTGAGCTGAGAAGATTGCTTGAGCCTAAGAGTACTAGGCAATGTGGCAAGACCCCATATTAAAAAAGTGAGATTAAAACATTATTAAATTCTTATAACCTGAGAATTTAAAAAATATAAACCTGACAAGTGAGTCAAGGGTAAAATACATTTTTAATTTTTTCTTGTGGGTTGGTCTTTTTTTTTTTTTTCTGAGATGGGTCACCCAGGTAGTGCAGTGGTGTGATCTCAGCTCACTGCAAACTGCCTCCCCAGTTCCAGAGATTGTTGTGCCTCAGCCTCCTGAGTAACTGGGATTACAGGCGCGTGCCATGGCGTCCAGCTAACTTTTGTATATTTTTTAAGTAGAGACGGGGTTACACCATGTTGGCCAAGTTGGTCTTGAACTCCTGACCTCAAGTGATCCGCCCGCCTCAGCCTCCCAAAGTGCTGGGATTACAGGTGTGAGCCACTGCACCCAGCCTGGATGGATTATGTCAGCTTGTAAAAGACCAGGCAGCTTTTTTTTTTAAGTTTAATTTTTTTTTTTTTTAAGACAAGCCTTTGCTTCTTTGAAACATAGGTAATGTTTTTCATACAGTGATGAAATTTGTATTTTAAAAATTTGTTTAATATAAGATTTCTGTTTGTCATTAAAGTTGTATAAAACAAAGTAACTGATGATTATGTACACTGTAACAGATACTCTATATTAAGATTAATTTAGAAAAATGGTCTAAGTTAATAGTCATTAAACAGTTTAATATTTAAAATTCTGGCAAAATCAAAGTAACATTATAAAATTGTTTATTTTTCAGGAAAAATCCTCAAAGATTCAGTGTGCTTGGTTACTGGTATTCTTAGCAGGATCTTCTGTTCTTTTATATTACACGTTTCATTCTCAATCACTTTATTACAGGTAATTAGAGGTCCAAATACACAGTTACATTTTTAATGTAATCATATAATTCATAGCACTTTGTATGTATCTTACCTCACATAGTACTTACTGTATTCAATTCAGTTCTGTTTTTAACTATCTCCTTTCATAAGTGAGAGCTTTTTTTTTTTTTTTTTTTTTCAGACAGAGTCTCGCTCTGTCACCCAGGCTGGAGTGCAGTGGCTTGATCTTGGCTCACTGCAACCTCCACCTCTCAGGTTCAAGTAATTCTGCCATCTCAGCTTCCCAAGTGGCTGGGATTACAGAAACACGCCACTATGCCCAGTTAATTTTTGCGTTTTTAGTAGAGACGGGGTTTCACCATGTTGGCCAGGCTGGTCTCGAATTCCTGACCTCAGGTGATCTACCTGCCTCGGCCTCCCAAAGTACTGGGATTCCAGGTGTCAGCCACGATGCCTGGCCTCATAAGCGAGTGCTCTAAGTGATTTATTCAGATTTTGTATCCCCAGTGCCATGGCATGTAGCAGATGCTCAATAAATATTTAATATTTTGATACCTGAATTTTTGTTTATATATTCCATATTTATTAAGTACCATTAGGTTGTTATTGTTGGTCTTTGTTTCTGAAAGTAAGAACACTTACTAAATGACAGTAGCTGGAAAGTTTCCATGTCAAATGGGAATATTCTGAATTTTCAGCTTTTATCAGAATATTAGAAGACCTGGTTTCACTGAAGTTGAAGAGATGGGCAAATCTGGGATATAGTTTGGAGGTGGAGCCAGTATCCCTCAGATGGACTGGATTGGGTAGGTGGGTAGAGAGAAGCAAGAATGACCTCTGGGTTTTTAGTCTAAGTAAATGGCTGGATGGTGGTGTCGTTTCATTGGGTTGAAAAAGAAACTGATTTTGAGGGGAAAAATCAATAATTTTGTTTTGAACATGTTAACTTTGAAAGGCTAAGTTGAATTAATAAGAAAGGGGTTCCAAATATATGTCATGACTCAGGGTAGAGCTTACAGCTATAAATTTTGGTATCAGGAGCATATGATTGATATTTAAAAACCACAGGACTGGACAATCTAACCCAGAAAAGAAAGAGTAAAGGTAGAGAGCTCAGTACTGGACATGACCACAATTAGAAGAGAAACAGCAAAGGAGACGAAGAAGAAACCAGCAGTGAAATATGAGAAATTTGAATGTGGTGTTACAAGTCTAGAAAGAAAATTATTCAGAGAGGAAAGACAGAAAAAGAGAAGTGACCTTGAAATTCATCAAGACAGAGGGAGTTGATGGTCATGACAAGCAATTCATTGAAAGGAAGAGATGAAATCCTGATTGGAATTGGTCAAGAAAATCATGGCAGATGTCTGGTATTGAGGTTTGTTTGTTTGTTTGTTTACAGGCTAGAAAGGTGTCAACTATGACAAACTATGAAGACTTTTTCCTTATTCTCTAAAGGGAAAATCTAAAACCCAAACATTTTAAAAGTCTCTTTAAGCAAAATGATCCTCCATTCCATTAATGTGAACTATGACATCCTGCCAAACTCGTATTTTTTACCTATCAAAATAAAATATTTGTAACAAATTAAAACCCTTTATTAGTACTTTACTTTTATGTTGCTCTGATAAATTTTGATGTTTTTCTCTTGGTAGTTTAATTTTTTTAAATCCTACTTTGGACCATTTGAGCTTCTGGGAAGTACTTTGGATTGTTGGAATTACAGACTTCATTCTGAAATTCTTTTTTATGGGCTTAAAATGCCTTATTTTATTGGTGCCTTCTTTCATCATGCCTTTTAAATCTAAGGTAAGAAACTAACTTATGCTTTATTGGAGTGATGTTAATGAACCACATTAATGCTATTTAGTCTTTGTTTAAATGAATCCTCCTTTTGCAGTTTTTCAGTTTGCTAACTACCTTTAATTATCTGTATTATTGCAGCCTGGCAACCACTTGTTTAAGCATTTGAACCTGAATATTAACCTACATGGATAAAATCAGAATTATATTTGCTTCAGAATAATTTTAAAATCAGTCATATATGGGAAACTATTTAGATTTGTACTTCTTTTCTCCAGAGCATTATCAATTGACAGTTGACTATATATAATTATTCAGTGGCTTCTCCTACACAATAAAGACTTTAAAATTTTTATAATGAGCAAAAACATACATAGGTTTTACTTGCAGTATACATAAAGCATTTTCACTATATCATTCTTTAGAAATTATATTTATTTATTTATTTAGAAATGGACTCTCACTCTTGTTGCTCAGCCTGGAGTGCAATGATGCGATCTCAGCTTACTGCAACCTTCATCTCCCAGGTTCAAGGGATTCTTCTGCCTCAGCCTCCAGAGTAGCTGGGATTACAGGCGCCCACCACCACACCCAGCTAATTTTTTATTTTTGGTAGAAATGGGGTATCACCATGTTGTCCAGGCTGGTCTCAAACTCCTGACTTCAGGTGATCCACCCACCTCAACCTCCCAAAGTGCTGGGATTACAAGTGTGAGCCACCACGTCTGGCCTAGAAATTCTTTGAAAGCAGACTACTCAGTGACTGTGAGAACCAATTTGAGGGTTTAGTCATAATCATAATCATTATGAAGATTAATATTATTTATATTGTATCATATACTCTCAGTGTTCTCAGTCCAGTATTGTTTGTGCTATGTAGTTTGGGTAGCTCTATTTGTTTTCTTTTTTCTTATTTTTTAGGGTTACTGGTATATGCTTTTAGAAGAATTATGTCAATACTACCGAACTTTTGTTCCCATGCCAGTTTGGTTTCGCTACCTTATAAGCTATGGGGAGTTTGATAATGTAACTAGATGGAGTCTTGGGATATTGCTGGCTTTACTCTACCTCATACTAAAAGTAGGTAACATTATAGATCTTGTCACTGCAAGATTCGTATTAATGATTACTGACAATACACTACTATTTTCCTTTTTAACAGTTTTATAGTTTATCTTCCTATCACTAGTTTGAAGTAATGGGAGGTTCTATATCTATTTAGAAATGGGAGAAACGAAAATTATCTTAATCCAGCAGTCTTCAGTTTTCACTGGAGGGAAGCAGAGCAGACTTTTGCATAGCGTGGATTATCTAAGTAGGGAAAATGAGTGGAATAGAACATACCCATCCTCAATAGTAACATTTATCATACACATAAGTCTTAAACTAGTGGAGTATCTTGTTCTGTTCTCTCCATGCCTGTGCCCCTCAACCTAATAATCACTTTGTGAAACTTTAAAATTTAAATGTTAAAAACAGGTTAATCAGATAACTGTTTTGACTTTGACATAGTTAAGTTTGTATTTGTCTTGATCAAATTGTTACTCTAGGTGTTTAAATGTACTTCAGCTTGAGTTGGCTCAAATCTATAAATTGAATAAAATATTCACAAAATGATTAGTTTTGACATATAATGAGCATTAAGTTAATATGAGGATTTGATGTCATGGGATTTCAGCCTTGGTTTTTGTGTTTAGCAGATAGGACTGTTTGAATTAATAAATGATCTCTTATTTCCCTTTTCAGCTTTTGGAATTTTTTGGGCATCTGAGAACTTTCAGACAGGTTTTACGAATTTTTTTTACACGACCAGTAAGTACTTTTCAACAGTTGGGAAAAACACTCTGACCTTTATTAAAAATATTTTTTTTAGCTCAGCAGTTTTACAAGAATGGATTTCATAAAGAGATGATCCTTTTCTTTTACTTTGATTATTTTCTAGTATTTTGGCACTTGGGGGCTATAATAATTTAGGAGTTTCATCTCTATGATCAGTTTCTTGAATCACACACTGACAGCCACTGGCTAATTATTGCAGTACTTATATATTTGAACTTGTCTCTTGCCCCTTCAATCCATTTGACATTTTTAAGGGCTTGCAAACCCTTAAAAATCTTAGGAAGTTTTGTTTTTCTTTTTTAATCCATAAATTGGGGCTTTGTGTATTCCCATTAACTCCTTATTCAGCTGTTAAAATCCTTCCACTGTAATTTATTGTGTATGTTTAAAAAGCTCATTGCCACAAGTCATGTCTCCTGCAGTTTTCTTACTGGAGCAGATTTCCCCATTGCTCGATTCTATGTGCACAAATAAGTTCATGACATGAAATTTAACAATTAATTGAGACTCTGGTGTCATATGCAACATTATGATGTGATTCTATTGACGTTACAAATTGCAGTGAAAGGATGTCATAGAGAACCTTAATTTACTACTTAGTAGCCTCAAAGGTTTCCAGTACCTACGTGTGGTCACTAGATTTCAAGGTTTGATGCTCAACTTTGCAGTCATTTCATAAGGGTTCAGGGAGACTGACTTAAAAGAATGCCAACCTAATAATATACCATTAAAAATAAAAAAAGGATTATGTCTACAAAGTAAATCATACTAACTGGCCAGTGCATCTTTTCCCTAAGATAGAGTTAGCAATGTAGAAACAAACTGTGCAACATCCTATTCAAGCTTCTTTCTCTAGATGTAATAAAATTCAGAGTTCAGCTTTGTCCAAGTCAATTCAGTTGATGATTATGTGAGCATCGACCATTTTACTATAATTGGTCTTGTACGATTTGTGTTGAAATGCTTTCAAGAAAATACCCTGATATTCTTTCTCTGAGACAAACTATAGAGAGGATATCAGTCATCAATACTTTGATTTGTTGAATTCTCCTTTACCAAGGAAATGGCAGTTACTATCAGGGTAAGTCTTCATGTTGAGGGAATCTCCAAGATGCCAGATTAGTAATGTTTTAAAAGCTTGTCAGCATAATTATCTGCAAATGTACTTTGCTAAATGCCACCTTACTAAAGGAAAATTGACATCAAGATCTTCTAACAGTATCCTGACTTGTTTCTGAAATCTTTATCACCAGTCTCAAAAACCTTAATTTTTAATATATTTATCCTTTAAGTTTTACTTTGATTTTGTTAACCTGAGACATTTTAGTATAAGAACTTGTACAAGAATCTGTAACATTCTGATTTTTCCAAATTTCACTGAGGGTTATTAACATCACATCTGGTTAATGACTAAGTTCTGAATCCGGTGAGAAAGTTAAAATCTTAAAAGAGATCAGAAACTTTTTATTAGGACATTAGAAGAAAATTCAAATAATTTCATTATTGTTCAGTTAGTTTTGACAGTAATTATTCTACCCAAGTGCCATTTACAGTTGCAGTTTCTCTGTAAAACTTTATCATTTGTGCTTAGCACTAAATGCTTTTTATGATAATCGTGAATAATTTTTAGACCTAGTGGCAGAACATTCTTCAGTGGTCCCTAAGTCTTCTACATATTGTACTCACTTGGCAACCTTTCAAATAGATGACTGGGTCACATTCCAGTATGTCTGGTCCTACTGAATCAATATTGTGTGTAAAACAGAGAAATCTATTTTTAAAGCAAGTTTCCACAAGTTACATTCAGCCAGCCAAGCTCTGACTAGACTGACTTTATGAACCACTGCCGCAGGTAATAAGTGAGCTCAATTTGGCAGTCCTGCGTTAAATACATGGCTATAGATTTTATAATAGTTGTATTTCAGATTGCTTAGTCTCTTAAGCCAGTTATGTTGAATCTCAAGTACTGTCAGTCTTTGGAAAGCTAGTAGATCTAACAATCTTCCAAGATTCTATTGTGTATTATTTAATGATTTCATCTTGGTGCACTCAAAAGGTGGTTCTGTATATGTGATTCAGCTTTGAAATGTTTGTATCCTTTGAGAAGGTTTTCAAATGCCTGGTTCCAGGGAGATTTGAGAAGTACAGCATCACTTATGTAAGTTGAGGAACAGGAAAGAAATTTTTAGATAAACAGAACTTACTATCTTCATAGAGTTACGGAGTGACTGCCAGCAAGAGACAGTGTTCAGATGTGGATGATATTTGTTCAATATGTCAAGCTGAATTTCAGAAGCCAATTCTTCTCATCTGTCAGGTAATTATATTTTTAAATTTAAAAACCTAATTATAACATTTCTCTGTGACTTGCAAAAGTCATATTTATGTTTGTTACAAGGCACACAAACACAAAATCTAGTGTTTAGTGAAAGGTAGCATTCAGGGTACATACTAGGAATTTATTCATGATCAGTGGATTGGCTAAGTTTTGTCCTTTATATTCTGATGACTTTTATGCAGAGCAGTGTATGAAGGGGAAAAAATAATTCAATTGACAGATTGGATACCAAAGTGATTAAAAAACAGGCTATTTTTAGAATACCAACATTTGTTGCTGGATTGTATAAGGCCCTTTCCTGTACTTTATGGCAGTTATTAGTAACTCAAAGACTTTAAGCTGTTATCATATGTAATCTTAAAGGATCACACCTAGGGATAGTTTTTATGGTTAAATGGATAGTACAGCTAGAACAATAGTGGCTTTACTACTCACACTGTTCTTTGTTTTCTTGAATGTGTCATACTGTCTCCATTTTCCCATTTGTAAAGTGAGGGGATTAGTACTCTTCAAAATCCCTTTCAGGCTGGGTGCAGTGGCTCATGCCTGTAATCCCAGAACTTTGAGAGGCGGAGGTGGGCGGATCACTGGAGATCAGGAGTTCAAGATCAGCCTGACCAACATGGTGAAACCCTGTCTCTACTAAAAACACAAAAAAATTATCTGGGCATGGTGTGGTGCGCACCTGTGATCCCAGCAATTTAAGAGGCTGAGACAGGAGAATCGTTTGAACCCAGGAGGCAGAGGTTGCAGTGAGCCGAGATCGTGCCATTGCACTCTGGCCTGAGTAACAGAGCAAGTCTCCATCTAAAAAAAAAAAAAGAAAAGAAAAGAAAAAAAAAAATCCCTTTATTCCCTAGAATGTGATGAATTTAAAATTCTTATCAAGTATAAAATCTAATTCTTCATTCCATTACAGCATATATTTTGTGAAGAGTGCATTACCTTATGGTTTAACAGAGAGAAAACATGTCCACTGTGCAGAACTGTGATTTCAGATCATATAAACAAATGGAAAGATGGAGCCACTTCATCACACCTTCAAATATATTAAGTTGTATAAACTATTAAGGCCACAAAATACTAATTAATGTCATTTGGTCATAATGACTATTGATTAAGGCATCAAAATGGATTTTCAGGGCTACAAGAAAAATGTTTCTAGATGGTTTTAGAATGTAAGACTTACGGTCCATTTCATCAAAAGATTAAATGAAAGAACCCTATGTTTTAAAATATGTATAATGTTCAACCTACTGTGTATGCAACATTTATTTTAATTATTTGACAGGTAACTGCAGTGTTAAATTGTAAATGTGTTTTCTTAATGTTAACAAAACCACAATTTGTAGAATTGGTGGTTTTAGAGAACTCAGGTATTCCTTCCTGACATTGTTTTCAGAATAAAGAATATTTTTCATAATATTTTAAGATACATATCAGAAATAATTTTGTTCAGCATTGACTTTTATAATTCCCATCCTAAAAATTCTTAATATTTTCATAAAATTTGTATTTTTAAATGAAAGTTCTAAATGTTGTATTTTATCATTAACAGATTTTTCTAAGTTTACTGAAGATGATACATTTTAATATTGTATTATTCTCTGTAGTATGACCAGAATCAGTGAAAATAAATTATTTAAATTCATTTTGTCTATGGACCTCATAAATTCTTCTGTCATCAGCTTTAATGTTCATGATCATGCTTTTTGTATAGAACCATGGAGTATCTTGAAGTAACTATTAAAATAATTCATGTGGATTATAAACAGCTGGCTCACTTGATGATTTGAATAGTATAGAAAACAAGACAAGGCCAGGCGAGGTGGCTCACTAATCCCAGCACTTTGGGAGGACAAGGCAGGCAGATCACAAGGTCAGGAGATCGAGACCATCCTGGCTAACATAGGAAACCCCATCTCTACTAAAAATACAAAAAATTAGCCGCATGTGGTGGCACACGCCTGGAGTCCCAGCTACTCCCAAGGCTGAGGCAGGAGAATCACCTGAACCCAGGAGGGAGAGGTTGCAGTGAGCCCAGATCACACCACTACACTCCAGCCTGAGTGACAGAGCCAGACTTCATCTAAAAAAAAAAAAAAAAAAACAAGACAATATAATCCCAGCACTTTGGGAGGCAGAGGCAGGAGGACTGCTTGAGGACCTGCCTGGGCAGTAATATAGCAAGACCGTATCTCTATTAAAGAAAAAATTTCAAGACAGATGCCCTAAAATCTTAGAAAAGAATTGCCTTTATAATTAGTCTTCTCCATAAAAGTTTTGGAATTTTATGCTTGAATCACCATCAATTGGAAGATTAAAGCTTGCACTGAGAGGCCAACATGAGTTTTTGATAGTGTCGTTTGTTCTCCTCTAGGTATTTGTGCAGGGTGGTAGAAAAGGGAATGAAGCACTTTCTCACTCCCCTTGTTACCTCTAAGGAGGAATCTGAAATTGAAAACAGATGTCTGAAGCGCTGCTACCAGTTATATCTAAGTTTAGAATAATCTATCAGTTTGTAGTCGAGGAAAAGATGGTAGAAAGGAGAACTTAAGAAGCAGAGGTAGAAAAAAGATTTGCTGTACTGATAAGACAAAAGTTAAACCAACACCTGGATTAATAAGGATACTGACCAACTGGCTATAGAAGTCACTTTCTGACTGTATGGCCATCCAAATTGACAAAAGAACATTTGGAAGTCTGCACCTTTTTTTCTCCAGGTAAATACTATCAGGTTGTAAACACACTATATTCAATTACAGTATATTTCACTCTCATTATCTACTTTGCGAACCACTACAAGTATTTAAATGGCTTTGTGGTGATGCTGATAGTTCTATTATTTAGGTATACAGCAGAGGATGGGTGAGAGATTACAATTTGGTTGTGAAGGACAGCCAGGATGACTTCCTGTTCAAAACACAAGAATAGCATTTTCTTCAGCCCTATGACAATACCTATTTAATACATTTGCCCACCCTGTAACTATTCAGACAGCACTGTTTCTTAATGTGATTAAATAACCAAGGAGGTGCATGGTGGGGGTTTTTTGGGAAGGCAGTTTACCTATAAATTGAAAAGGGAGAAAATCTAATGGAGCTATGCCATCCACTATCAATGCTGATGAACTGCAAGCATTTCTCCATCCCTCTATTCCTTCACCTCAAAAAAAGGTAGTATAGATTCAGAAACCCATTTACTCTTTGAATTCAGATCATGACTTCTAGAAGATTGTTTTACCAGTATTGATACACTACTAGGTTGTATAGCAAGGTAAAGTCTATTTGAGAACTTCTGTAGAGAAATCCCCTTGGCAAGTGTGATATAATTACCTTACAGTTAAGAAGTGGTTCATAGAAATTACCCAGATTACACTAGATATATTGAGACATTAGTTAAAACAGATTTGTTCACGACATTATTTAGTGCATACACATCAAATTATCAAGTGTGGCTGAACAAATTATTGATTGTTAGCACAAGGTCTTCCTAGAGTTTTTATGAAGCTAGCTTTCACGTAGGTTGTTACATGCATTTTTTTTAAGTAAACAATTCATGTCTACTATCTGATATAACTTGAAAATCAAAGATGTATAACATCTAACATAAAAATCAATACTAAAACTTGTTACATACTTAAATAGCTTCCATGTCTCAGCAGAACAGCTTTTAACCCATTCCTTGCAGTTTATTAAATATGACAACTTGAACACATCTGACATGTTAATTAAAAAAATTTTTTTAAACCATTTATATACCTGATATGTATACTAATTTATTTCTTCCTATCTTAGGGTAATAAAAAAATAAATCACTTCTATTTTATGTTCATTCAAATTTGCATTTAATTTCTATTTACATTCATTCAATCCGAAATCAAATAATACAGTAAACTAAATACAAGATGAAAAGCAGAAAAGGTGTTACCCTCATAGCACTCCTAATAAGGCAGCTGAAGAATTTTATTTACTGATAGATGCAAAGCCAACTTGGGAGAGGAGAAACAATAGTTTAAAGAGCAAACACAAACATAGATGAACCCATCTTTCAGATGTTATTCCAGATAATCCACTGAGATAATACTTGTGCTATAATGTTAAGAATCACACAAGAAAAAGTACTGTATTAATCAGCAACGGACCACAGGTTATGTGTGACAAATACTTTTATGACAGTTTGTCCAGCTTGCTAGTGTCTACTTCTAAGAAAAAAAGTAGATGTTTGGACATTGATGTTTTTGAGAAATTAACCATTTTCAAAGCCTCAAAATCTATTCTTCATAAATTCAACATTTCTTATGGGAATAATCTTAGATCTAGCCCTTGTAAGCTAGGAACCCTATGATTAACTGAATATTGAAAATAGGTCCTATATTAAATATATAATCCAAGGCTCAGTATATTAATACTATCTAAGATGCATCTTGTTTATAATCATTTATTACCGATAGTAAAGAATGTTGAATTTATGGAGTATCATACATGCATCCTTCACCCCTCCCCTCAAATTATATTCTATCTCAAAAAATAGTATGGAAAAATCCTTCTTGAAGGATTCAAATTAGTTAAGACCATCATGGGGGAAAAAAAACTAATTTTCCTAAAAATCTGGTTCAAGTTCAATAATTAATACTTTACATTGTTAATCACAGCTGGTTTATAAATCCCAGTTTATTCTGTAATGCTACAAACCTTATAAAATCAAATTAGTAAACTTCAACTCAGTGATATTTTAATTAAAAAACAGCATGTATAAAATAAAAAAATATCCTGTAATAGCGATTTTAAAGAAAATAAGTGATGAAAAAAAGCACTTAATCTCTTTTATACACTTACCTGGTATAATCATAAAGAACCCTCTTAGAAACTCAAGACTAGTAATATCAACATCATATTTTAAACTATGCTTGGATTTTTACAAATAAATATAGATAAGCCATATTGCATAGGTGTGTGCTTTCTGTCTGTGACACTAATGTGACACTTGACATGTTTTCACAGTCATAGTAGGGATATCCATTTATGAAACAAGTTCTCAATAAATTTTCCACAGCACAGGAAATAAATTTTACTTAATAAATGTGAAGTCAGAAAAACTATGTATTTGTGTGGATGGCAGCTGTGCAATTAATGCTTTTTATGCAGAAAAGTTGCAGTGTTTGCCACTATTGCTGGCAGTACTAATTATGAAAACAGTTTAACTGGGGTGATTGTAGCCAGCCAATCACAGTGCACATGTTACTAGCAAATAGGACCAAGGAGGAATATTTTGGTGTATAAGTTTCACTGGAATTTGGTCAGGCAGTCAACACTACAGTTAGTAAACATATTTGAAAATAAGTATCAGAGTATCACAAGCCACTTCAGTCTGAAATAATGCCTGTACATATCAGCATAGTTTTTTGGGTTCTGTTTTTTCAGACATCACAAATTGTCAGAGAACAAGGATCTGCACTTTAATTTCTGCCCTTAATTATTATTGTAGCTTCTAATTTACCAGCTACAGTCATAAAGTTCTCAGTAGGCTGCTGCAATAAGGGAGGAGCGGGAAAGAGGGAGTAATTTAAAAAAAAAAAAAGGCTTTTTGTCCAAAGATGAACTTTTATAGATTTTTTTCAATTATTGCCACAATTGAAACAGTATATTTCCAATCATTTTTCATGGTTCTGTTTTTGCTTAGTGTCAGAGGATTTCATCCCATCTCATTTGAGTAGCAATTTAAAAAAGCAAAGCCTTGCTCTTTTCTGACTGAATTCAACATGCATAAAGAATTTTATGGCTTGGATCCTATGGCTCAAAAAGGTTTGAAAACATAGCAAGCAGCATTTATTTTAAAAAATCCTAGGGTTGCAAAATATTACAAATTGACTTTGCACACTCAGACTGAAGACATTTTAAAAGACAAACAAAAAGAGGTGATAAAACAACTGCAACTGCATGATCATCTATTATACCAGTACGCACTGAAATATATTTTTATAAAGCTCTGCAGATATTAAACCTTTTCACCAGCTAAAGTTATGGAAATGCTCTCTTTAAGGCAGGAAATATTTAAGAAAGGTAAAGTTACCTTTATTTTTATTCTTTGACCTGGAAATCATTTACGTTGATTTTGTTACAATTTCAAAAACAGAGTGTCCTGTTAACATGTTTCCTAAATTAAGCCACTAAGTTTTCTTATTTACTGTGGAAGACATTCATCAAAAGGCCATCAAATATTTTTACAATCAAAAAATGTAGCCCCAGTATAGGAGAAAAAAAATAGACCTTTTTTTTCTTTTTAAAACTGTTGAGAACAAAAATATAAGGAAGTAGACAGCAGAAATAGTAGAAAGAAGTAAAACTGAAAATCTTACCAATTTGCTGTAAAGAGATTAGACAGAGAGTGGGCCATAGCAACACCCTCTTCCCCTGATATCCCTATCTCCCTCTCTTCTGTTGTTCTTCAGCCATGAGCTGAACACATTTGGCGTCTTGAATCAAATATACTGGTATAAGAACAGGTGGCGATTTTTTTCCAGTGCAATGCAGGCCCAGGACAATGATGAAATGTAGGACATACAACTTATGCCCATTCCAAGGCTTCCAGTTAAGCTTAGCACATAGCAGTACTGCAAGTAGAAATGATTAAATAGATTCTTTTTTTTTT